ACTCTCTCCTCCCTGTCCTTGTGGCTGTCTGCAGCAGCTCCGGAGTCCTCTTTCCTGTGGGTCTTTGTGAAGTGTGATCAAAAGTACGGTGAATGCTGCAGCCCAGCGCCACTCAAGGGCAATGCAGGCTCGTAAAGACGCGAGGCTGTGCCCTCACCTGCCTATTCACCGGGACAGGTACCATGCAATCACCAGCTCTTCTCTAAAGTAAGTCAAAGGGATCAGGAAATGCAGGTATGGGGGACCTTGGTTTCAGGGACCTGTCCCAAATCCCAACTTCCTGCATGAGGTATATGGTGAAATAAGAAACAGGGACAGGGTCCACAAGATAACTCAGCAGACTAAGCGCCTGCTTAGGCAAGTTCAGGAACCAGAGTTTAATCCCTGGCACCACATGCCCCACCAGCCCCACCCCTGAGCCTGGCATGGTGGTGCACCTCTGTAATCCCAGAGCTGGGGAGGCTGAAAACATGAGGATCACCATGAGTCTGAGATGTTTTAGTGAGACCCTGTACCAAACACATTTTTTAAAAAGAGACAAAATTAGTAATTCACCCCCACCCTGGGGGAGGACAGTGCCTCAGGATGAGCCAAGACAAAGACTCCTCAAGCAGCCCCTATTGTTGGGTGTGCACAATAATCTGAGGGTCCTCAGTGACTCAGAGGACTGTGGTGACCTCATGCTTCTGAGGCTCATTAGGTTGATGAAAACAGTGGGGACAGATGGCAGGTATAGGAGTTTGTCCTTCCCTGCAAGGTGAAGCCCTATACTTCATGCCTGCTGGATTCTCAAGGAGCCAGGATGCTTCAGCGGCTGCACCCTTCCCTGGCATCACAGCATCCGGGGCCACTGGGGCCTCTTTTAAGGTCTCTGGGCTTTAGGCTCAATCTCTGATTTGTGCTCCCAACAGTTTAGGATTAATTCAAGGCCCCGAGGCAGCCAGGGCAACACAACTAGTCACTCAGGGAAGAGGGGCTGCTTCAGAGAGCAGCCAGGACGCAGGAAGAAGATGCGGTGGTTTTGTTGTTTTGTCTTTCAGAGGCAGGGTCTTACTATGCAGCTCAGGCTGGCCTTGAGCTCATTTTGTAGCCCAGGCTGGTCTCAGACTCTCAACAGTCCTCCTGCCTCAGCCTCCTGAGGGCTGGGATTACAGGTGTGTACCACCACAGCTGGCCTCATTCTTTTCAAAGTTCATTTATGTGGGGTTTT